GTCACTGGGGCTTTTGACACACCCAGCTGCTGAGGCTGCATGACGTCGCCTGCCTCTCGCCCTGGCAGGAAGGACGGGCACCGCGGGGAATCGAACCCCGTACCAGACGCGGTAGCCACTATGCCATTGCACCCCAACAGACGGTGGACCGGGTGACGTCACATGGCTAGACAGAAGATGTGATAAGTCACGCTGATGCGCTGCGAGCAGTCGGGTTGAGCGCGATAACGTGTTCTAAACGCAATTCAGCACAAAGTGATGCAACTCAGCCAACGTTCATGTTCCTAGGCGTGGCCGGCTTGTGCTCAGCGCCCCGACACCTATCGGCCGGCGGCGAAGCTTTAGTGTAGGTGGCGCGGGAGAGCAGCACAATCCGACAGAAGCGACGCCGTGAGGAGTCTCGTTCAACTGAGTCGGCATCGACCGCTTCAAGGCACATCGTGGCTTTTTGTGGATCGCAAACCATCGCCCGGCCAAACATTTGATATCGATCGCGGGGACGTGCAGACGCCGAGAAACGAGTAACGACGCCGTCGGAGGCGATGCGGGAAATCAATATCGAATCGGAATCGACAACCGTCAGCCGTCGTTTCCCAGCAGCGCTCCTGGGAGCTAATACCAGCTTTTACACCAGAAAATAGCCAAGGCATGCCTAGAAAATGCGCCTGCCCGATGTCATGCACATGAACCACAGAGAGCAAACTGCTTTTATGCCTCAGCTGTACCAGAAATGATAGTTTCCTTTGATGGAGGCAACTGCCACCTCCAACTGGAATTATTTTAGCATTTCCAGGATGTCAGCACACTGAGAGGAGGAAACACAAAGGCATACAGGCACATAGCTATAGTTTTTGTTTGAGGGAGAATATCAACTTTTCTCTAAAATTCACAAAGTTTAGACCAAATTCTTGCAAAACCACCCAGTATCTAGTGTAAAGTTCTTGGCTTGTGGGAAGTGGTTCTGTCTCCTTCACCCTCCATTTCAATTTGTCCATGACAGCACAGATGATGACATTGTGAGCTGTTTTGAAAGAGCTGGTAAATATCTCCCAGAACATGCCATATTTTAGAGACAAAACAAATACATCTTGATACCAACCACTGTTGTGGAGAGTACAGTAAACATCTTTGATGAAGTGCCACATGTGCTAAGAAATTATATACTTATTACAGATTAGATAAACACGATGTTTATCCATGCAGTGAATACATGTTTGTGATGCCTTTTTACAGGATCTCCAGCACAGTAATGGCCTTACCTGAACAACTTTGGTCTTTTTTCTGTCTGGTTCTAGATCTCCTGCAGCAGCACCATCTGCCTCTTCTTGAGGCATGCTGACTTCTAGACCAGTCTCTGGATGGAGGCTGAAATCAGTGTCAAGGATTTCAATTTCACCAAGCAATTTCAACACCAAGCTGAGTATAAGAACAAACAAAAAAAAACTGTCATGGAAGTGACACACCTACATGCAAACCAGATATTGAAGCGACTTGTGCACCATTGGGACCTCACAACACACTCGTCTGCTGGGGCTGCATGATTCCACCTACCTCTCACCCTGGCAGGAAGGGTGGGTACCACTGTGATTCACGCAGTGCACCTGTGGTTTCCATGCATGAGACATGCGGCTTAACAATCACACTGGCAGTACCAAATGGGAGTGATTCATGGGTGGTGATAGTAATCAGTTTAGATAGATAGTATAGATAGCTAATAGATAGCTAAAGTAAATATTTGTCAAACAATGTTTTCATAGGCAAAACATGCAGTGAGGCAGGTAAGGAACCATCTGCCTTGTGATCATCACAGTGAACCATGCCTAGTCATGTGACCCCAAATTACTTGAGCCTCCAATGAGTGAGACAATCCATATCCACAAGAAACTTTAATTCTAAATCCATGCCTTCCTCCAGGCAGAGTAAAACTTCAAGAACCCAGGGTGTCCCTAACTCGACTGAGCAATTTAAAAGACTAAGCTGAATGATTGCACACATTACAAGATGATTGGAGATGCAAGCATGCTGAGAAGCAGGGCTTTGCGCCATTTAAGAGCTAGGACTATCAACAAATTAACCAACTTATGTGAAGGATAAAATTCTCTTCACTGTCAGCTCACTACCACCCACCTTTGTCCGACCCGCCCTTCAGTTCAATGAACTGTCACCATGACCCTACAAACACTATCTCACTAATCCTCATCCTCCCTTCTGACCAATATCATACCATCTCGCTTTACATCTCCCGTTCCGTACTCCCACCCTTGCTTCGCCGCGATCCCACATACCTCGGATCAGCTGTTTCCGCCTCGCTCGCTCACCGGCTTCCTATTTCCCAAGCAGAACTCATCCAAACGATTTTCGGACGGTACATACAGCCACATAGCGCTCTCGGCAAAGGCCACTAGTCGTCTCATTTGCGCATTTTCTGTAAAGCAATTATTGATACCAAATTATGACGTGCAGCATCGTCCAGAAAATTATCTGACTCCGCAAATCATGGCATGCCGTGAAATGCTCCGTCGGTAGCACGAAGCTAACCGGCGGAAGAATAATTGCTGACTGATCGTCGCCTGGCATGTAAATTGACACAGCTATTTCGGTGGGGGGGGGAGGGGGGGGGAGGGCGCAGGGGAAGACGTTTGCCTTATGCCTATCAGCCTATATCATATTCCTAAGTCATCCTTGGCCCTACTATCCTATGCTACCTCCCAAAGCTGTTTTCGTTTCGGATTTTGGACACATTTACTTTGTCGTTGAAAATGTAAACATGCTTAACAAACATCGGTTTTGTTTGTATTGCGAGCCCTGTTTGTGACTATGGGGTAAAGGGACGGAACTTCCAGTCACGTTGGTGATGAGCTCAGAGATGAAAGTGGAGGAAACCGAGTCGTCCCACATGAACACGATCCTACATCAAGGGCCGACATCATTTAAAAACAAAACATGCAGTTTTGTGACAACCCTTCTGTAAAGCAGCAACCACGCCATCATGTCTGTCCTAAATCGTCCAACGACCGTGCGAGGCGTCCTGCGAGATGACGCTGGCAACTCTGTGGTCGGAAGCAGCATTCACGAAATGATATATTCTCACAGCGCGAGCGCGATCACTGCCTTTGACCACCCAAGGCGCGGCTGGAAGGCGTTAAGGCCGCGGAACCTTTCATCGCACAGCTCGGGTAAGATTTTCAGCAACGAACCAGGCGCGTCGCACGCGCCATGTCCATCTGACATACCTGGAAATTTAATTCCTTTTCCGGGCAGCTACATGAGATACGATACTGTGCGCTAGCACTCGTTTTCGGTTTTTCCACGCCAGACAGAAACACATGAAAGTGACAGTGGCAATGATCCGGGTTTTAGGGCGCACAGGCCGCGTTGGTCATACTGCCCCCCCCCCCCCAAAAAAAAAAGAACATGATAGATCAGGATGGATGACTGTATTCATTGCGCTGTCGACTCCACGTGATTTCACAAAGCTCTCTTCGCCTGTATCACAGCTGTATCCCCAGGCACATCCCAACTGGCCGATGCGGAAGCTGTGCTGGGTCGCTTCGACCCCCCCCCCCCCCCCCCTGGCATCGCCAGCACTCACCAATCAACGGCGACGCTGCCGAGCTCACGCCGCCGTGTCTTATTGATCGTGATCGTGAGCAGTGATCGCCCAAACACCGTACGCGAGGGAACGACCTCATCCCGGGGCCGGCATCCTGGTCAAGGTCACACGCACGAGAGCATAGCCATGTGTCGGGCGAATTTGCAGCAGAGTTTAGGCTTTGGAGACAGTGTACGAATATAGCGGATGGTGTACCATCGTGAAGGCTTCTACAGCACACGTAATCGATGGAATCTGAAGATGTGCCGCATGTACAGCCCCTCTTTCCTCACCCTCACTCTGCTCTTGTCTCCTCCCCCCCCCCCCCCCACCAAATCTGCCCGAGGCAAGCGACACACATCAGTACTGCCCCCCTCCCCCCCCCCGCTAGCGGGGGCCTTATCAGTCACCGAACAAGCCCCGAAGAGGCCCCAGTGCGAGTCGGGCCTCCCTCGCGGAGGACCCACAGACGCATGTGGTCTGCCCTGACGATGTTCACTACCACGCACCCTGCGGCCCTGGAGTGGTCAACATTGGACTAAAGGATTCGAAACAGCCCCAATCCAGACCGCCAAAAACCGAACCAAACGTGCCGGCTGAACACGACTCACGCCGTCGCTGACGTTCAGCACACGTTCCGTGATAGGACCTCGCAATGCTCCACCCTCGGTTCATTTTCACCCCTCTCTAGCCCGTCCTCTGCGTGGCACCTATTCGCCCCTCCGCGCAATCGGCAATCTCAGGGTGCTGTCATTGACGTGCCTGTCTACGCCCGTGGAAAAGCGACACTTTGTTCGGGCCAGTGCACCTAGCCATTTCCCAATTTGACTCGATTACTCATGGCCAGTTGGGTCATTTTTGACTACAACTTAGCATGCCGCCCCTACCACACGTTCAATACTATCAATATGTACATCACTCCGATGCCTTAATCATTTCGCTTCGCGCCAAAGCTACAAGGTAAAACGTCGAAACCAAGAATTTCAGGCAATGATTACGGATGGCATGCGGTTGGTGCTCCCACAATAGGCAATGAACTAAATGAAATAAACGCACTGATGAGACAGACAACTGATACAGTGAGCTTGACCTAGTACAGCATATACTTACATACATACACACACACATATATATATATATATATATATATATATATATATATATATATATGTATGTATGTATGTATATATATGCACTGAAACTATAACCCTCAATCATGCAATCACCCAGCATTGACACAAGGCTCCAAAAGCGAGTCACCCCACTAGGACACGATAACTGTGTACGTTCTACACAACTAATAACACACCGCCTGGCACGACAGCGGATGGAGACGCCGGCCACAGCACCTGTCCAGAGCACACGCCTCCCCGCCCCCCCCCCCCCCCCCCCTCCCACCCAGCCCAGTCATCGGCAGGGTCGGCGTCCATCCTCCCACGGCGACACCACTGGTGCCGGGGCGGCGTCACCACTGATGCCGCCGGCCCAAGCCAGCGGGCCAACACCATTCCGACCCCTGGCGGCTCCGCGGCCAAACCGTGAACAACACGGCAGCCACGGTACCAGCCGCCACAGACCCTCCGCACCGCCGCCGGGACCACCGCCGGGACCACCGCTGGGACCACCGACCGGAGCCGGCCACCAGATGGGCCGCGGACAGGCGCGGCAGCGTCAGGCAGGTGTCGGGCCGACACCACGCCGGCGTCGCGCCGGCGCTGGCCACTAGTCGAGCATGTCGTCGACGGAGCGCAGGCCGCCCGTGTGTGACTTGGACTCCTTCATCTTGCGGATGGCGCGGTCGAAGTCGGCCTGCCCGATCGGGCGCAGCTGGGCGGCCGGCGCCACGGCGGCGGAGACCTCCTCGAGGTCCATGCGCGCCGCGCGCGGCGGCGCCGTCCCCGGCGGGCCGACCGAGTCCGAGGCGTCCGAGAACACGTCCGCCCGCGATGCGCCGTTCATCAGGCTGGAACGACCGCGGCGAGTCATCTGTTTGCTGCTCCGAAGCGTGTCGCGGCCAGCACGGCTGCCGCACAGCACTCTCCGTCAGCACCACGTGGCTGGAACGTGGCGTCACGGTGCAGCGCAGAGTAAGAACACAGAGAAGACAGTGCTGCTCCGGGCGTCAGACCGTCACCGCTGACGCGGTTCGACACATTTGTGCGCCCCTGCTCCCAGCGAAGAGGATGAAGGGTGGTGAGCCGTTCGACTGTCCGACCACACCAGAGCGTGGGGGTGGAGTGTGGGAGGGGAGGGGTAAGGAGGAGAGCTTGCCAGGGTGATGGACCGCGACGACGTGAAATGAAAGACAAAGTGGAGAAGGTGCGAACGCCCAGCGGAAGAAAAGCGACAAACACTCCATGGCGACTCCTGGAGGGAGGGGACGGGTCGCCGGGTAAGGTCGCGGTGCCCGCCCCCTCACCTGTTCGGGGAGGGAGGGGCGCTGGACGAGGACAAGTCGCCGGGTAAGGTCGCGGTGCCCGCCCCCTCACCTGTTCGGGGAGGGAGGGGCGCTGGACGAGGACAAGTCGCCGGGTAAGACCGCGGTGCCCGCCCCCTCACCTGTTCGGGGAGGGAGGGGCGCTGGACGAGGACAAGTCGCCGGGTAAGACCGCGGTGCCCGCCCCCTCACCTGTTCGGGGAGGGAGGGGCGCTGGACGAGGACAAGTCGCCGGGTAAGACCGCGGTGCCCGCCCCCTCACCTGTTCGGGGAGGGAGGGGCGCTGGACGAGGACAAGTCGCCGGGTAAGACCGCGGTGCCCGTCCCCTCACCTGTTCCGGGAGGGAGGGGCGCTGGACGAGGACAAGTCGCCGGGTAAGGCCGCGGTGCCCGCCCCCTCACCTGTTCGAAGAACGCCCACTCATGAAGTCCCTGACGGGGTAGATGGCCGCCGTCCTGCACAGCTCCCTGATGTCAGAGCCTGCGGGAACACCCGCGGGTGATCTACTCATCCTGCACACGCCCCTGCCAGACCGTGCGGGCGCACCGGAGACCACGCTGTCATCCTACACAGTTCCCTGACGTCCGGGCATCCTGCATGTGATCCGCCACCTTCACACATCCGTGTCACACTGTGACACTGTGTCCGTGTCACACCCGTGACCGGTGCTATCACCAGAGCGGCTGGCAAGAACCAGAGCACCACAGCCAGAAATGGAGCAAGTGAACAACGCCACGCTAATACTGACATGGCCGACAGAACACAGAGTGGTGGCTGTTCGATTACATTAGATGCTGAAGAGCTCCTACAGCACCTCCATGTTGCTCTTCAGCCGTAACGTTACCGCCAAAATCACTGCCACTTAATGCCTGTCTATGACACCAAGGCGGCCGGCAATGAAGCCAAAACTCTGCAGCAATTAAGAGCGAACAGAGCCAGCCGCTGGCGAAACAGAAAACACGATATAAATCCAGAGGTGATGCTGTGTATTTTTACGCAATTAATCCACAAATAACAGTCAACTGGCAAGTTCCAACCTTTGCTATAGTCCATTCATAGTTAGTCACATACAAGGCATGTTGACTTGACCCATTTAAATGCCAACGAAACACAAAATATACGAAACTGATCTGTATTTTTCAGGTCTAAGTCTCACGTCAACATGCTTTTTGTGTGTCTAGGTGATCCCGACCCTTCCGCCGTCCACATGAATGTCCCCATATCCAGGGCACGTCTAGAGCCAATCTCCCCCAGCGCCAGCCCACAGCCGCAGCAGGCCCGCTCACCGGTGAAGCCGTCGGTGAGGGTGGACAGGCGGTTGTAGTCGATGTCCTCCGACACCTTCTCACCCCGCATCACCAGCTTCAGGATGGACTTGCGCTGCTCCAGAGTCTGCGGAAGAGATCGGTGACTGCCTGGCTGCTCCGCCAGGCGGACTGCGTGACGAGCGAGGATGCCGTAAGTGAAAAA